CCCCCCCCCCTCGTCTCGCCGATAAAATCGTATATATAAAATTATATATAATTTGTGGTGTACCACGTCCACTTTCGACGATACGATTTTATCGGCGAGACGCGGGGTCTCGAAAATGGACGTGACACGTAGTTCCCCCAGCTCGAAAATGGACGTTGCTGTCGCTAGTGTACGGGGAGTTAGAAGCATTACAGAAAAAAGGGTCGGGATGGCCGCTCTCAGGTTTCTCTCTGATTTGATCTTACGGACAGACGATAACCGTGCGATATTACCGGCACGTAATTCAATTGGTACATTCTTGTTATTCGGTTGGCACAAGGCTTTTCTCGCCAGTTGGCCGCACTGGCCGTTTCAAACCTGTTACCGTCTCGCGCATGCGCACCCGTCGCGCCGTTCGTCGGTCGGCGTTTCTCGGCGCGGCGCACATTTCGTTCCACCGGTTCCACTTCCACGCTACAGTCAGTGCGTCTCGCGCCGACGGAGAGGTCGGTATTTTTTCCGGAGTGTCTCGCGATACGATCCTCTACTCATTCATCGTCGATTCGGTGCCACGAGGAATACACGCCGGTCTGTCGTGCCGAAAACGCGATTGCGAGGGGAAACTGAGAAAACGCGTTTGCGAATGCAAGAACCGCGTCAGTGTCGTCGCGTCCATCCCGCCGCCGGCAACGACAGCACGTTGTCGTCGCGAATTGCAGTGTCGAGATTTTAGCGTGTGTTTCTCCGTCTCCGCCTTTCTCCGCTTCTCGTTCACATTCATCTCTCCCGCTCGCAGATTTCGTTTCCGCGCGCAGGAGCAGGACGACGTCGCGTCGCCGCGAGGATGAAAAGTACCATGACGACGACTCTGTGGATTGTCGCCGTCGCGACGGTCATCGTCGCGACGACGACGGTGAACGCCGCCGGGCTCAAGTGCGACAGTGTCAGGCCGATCTTCGAGGCACAGGGCTTCCCGCTCAGCGATATCCCGAAGGAGGCGATTTCATGTTAGTATTTTTCAGCATTTTTGCTTATGAAAATCGCATGCGATCTGTTTTTTATTGCTGTACTTTCTGAACTAGTACACACAGTGTGATAAGTTGAAGTGAAACAAATATACGTTTGTTTCACTTCAATTTATTGCATCGGTTCAGAGTGCAGCAATAAAAACAGATCTACATTCTCGGCGTAATCTTGTATTTGTATCCTGCGTTGCGTTTCTTTCCTATTGAAGTAAATAATATATTGAACTACCCTTCTCCCGGTTCCACAAACGTAAGCTTAACTTTAACTTGGGTGTAACTTACTATTCATCTTTTTCCAATTCTGAGAAATATGTTTAGCATTTGTAATTGTAATTGCATGGGTAAATAACTATAGTTTGGAGCTTCATTTTTATGACTAAATATTATAGTGTTAGTAATAATTAACCATATGTGATGGTTCTCTCAAACATGAAACAAATGTGCTATAATTTCAAATTAATGTGGTAAGACATAAATCAAAAGATAAATGGTAAATAAAATAAATATTTTTATTCAGTGACTGTAGTCATAATTATAGTTAAATTATGATAATTATGGTAGGAATTTAATACTGGAGGGTAGTGATTAACTTATTTTGAGTATTAACCCTCGCACCACACACTTATTTTCGGTTTCTTTGGACGACACACATGGATCATTCGTGTCCGACTCGATTTTAAGGCTCTTAAAGTGCTCGAAAAATTCTGTAAAAATTTACACATATTCTTTAAGGTCTCTACTAAATTATCTTGCTATGCAAACATTGGAAAATAATGTTTAGAAAAATTATGGGAATTACTTTCTGTACCAGAAAAAGAAAATAATTCAGTTTTGATATAAAAATTGTAACTTAGATTTTTGAAGAAAAAAGCAGTTTTTGATTTTATTAAAGTACAAAAATGGTTATTTTTAATGCGTGGGCACGAAAGACCCAGTGTGTGGTTCGAGGGTTATAACACTCAACAACAATGCTTTTAATTATTATTTTGATTATTAAAAACACTAAACAATAGTGCTTTCTATATTCAAAATAATTAATTAAAAGCATTTTTACACAAAGCAGCTTCTCCAAAGAAAGTCGTAAAGACGTCCAGAAGGCATCTTACATTCCATCTACAACAATTGTTGTTATAATAAGTACTCTTTGCTTCTTGTTTCTTGCTTTTTGCCTCTTTTTCTCTCCAAGGGAAGTCATAAAGAAGGCATCTTGCATTTTATCTACAACAATTGTTATTCAATACTTTTGAGTCTAATTTACAATATGCTTTTTTCCTGTTTCTTGCTTTTTACCTCTTATTCTTTTCTCTCTGTTGACTGTTTTATCGACAAATGTTTCTTGTTTCTTTATCAACTTTTATCTTGGACGACAGAAAACGAAGAAGCAAGATAAGAGGTAAAAAGTACTAAAACGCAAGAAGTAGGAAGCAAAAAGCATATTGTAGATTAGCATACAAATACTTTTTAAAAGCAATGAACAGTGTTTAACGCTCAAAATAAATAATTAATCATTATCTTACAGCGTCAAGTCGACCTTCGGTTATAGCATTGAGCAACAGTCCACTGTGATCTAATTACATATTAATCACTTATTTTGAATATCAAAAGCTCTCTCGTACTCCATACAGTACAGAAGTTTGCAGCAACGTTTACAATGGCCACTTTCAGCAAAATGTTTATTTTGCAACTGTTCGCTGTTTAATTTATAACATGAAATTATATACCCAATTTGAGTCATTTTTAATCATTTTTATGATTAAAAAGTGGATCGCCACTACTTCCACTTAATATGTCATTAATTTAATTAAAACAATACAGTTAAGTAATTTAACTCAAAAGAATGCAATAAATTTGATTCTCAAATTTAGTTTATTATTATTTACTAAATGTATACGTTAATGGACGTTGCTTACTTTGAAACTACTCATAGAAATGGATTGATTTTGATACACATGGAAGTTAAAAATAACAAAATGTTATTTAACTTGAGAGATTGGATTGCCATTGCTCCTTTGATATTTAACAGTGTTGGAAGTTTTCTTCGCGCTAATTGGATTATACTTTTAAATCCAAGGAAGGAACAGTCTATCTCAGCAAAGAAAACTTCCAACAGTTACAAACTGAACATTCTGATGAACTCGGCCAACGTTATCGCAATATTGCTGGAATATTATAATATATATTGTTAATATACAACGTTATAATATATTGTTAAAATGTTGCTGGAATAATCTATGCTGTACGGGATTTTGAATACTCAAAATAAGTATAATAATTAATCACTACGTTTCAGTATTAAATTGTCTAATATTAAATTGGATTTCTGTAAAAGTAATCAAAAGAGGCGAGGAGGAGGAGAAATATTTATTATCGGTAAAAAGTGGAATTTCCGTTTGATAGCAAAAAGTCTCATTCGATCCTGATCTTCGCATGGAATATGCACGGCTGCATTTAGCGCTTGATGTGCAGGATGTGAATGAAAGGTGCATTTAGGGGACTGATTCGTTTAGCGATGCTCCTTATGGTCGAACGGTCGGAGCTCGTAAAACGACGAACTCTTGATATCCGCAGTTAACGAATTCACGTCAGTCTTAATTCACTCTCTGGGAGATGAAATCGTATTTTATACGTATTAAGCGCGCGCTCAACTTTCCGAATGAGTTCGGATGAATTATATGTAGATATTCTTACACTTTGATCGATACGAACCTGCTTTATCGGTGTAGATCTTACGGTTATTAGGTCACATTATCTTATTATCAACGACCGCGATTTTGATCTAGTTATATAATAGAATGATTAACGATGTGTCAAGTAATCTTAGGTTTGTGAATTCGCAGCTTGATTGCGAGTTTTAAATAGCTTGAATTAATTAATACGGGAATAGTCACTTGATTTTTTTTTAAGTAAACGATTATCTGGGGTTTTTATATCCCAATTAAAAATCTCTATTATCATAACAACATATTGAATATTATTGATTAATGCTAATTAATAAAGGAGTATAAAACCAAATGGAAGATCAGAGAGTCTTATCTTTTTATGATTATTCATTGTTTTCCGATTTATTTAGTTTTAAGAACATTATACGGATACTAAATTTATTCATAATTTTCTGGAAAAAGTAAGTAGAAATAAAAGTCAGAATACGAAAGAAGCACATTAAATAGCTGAACATAACAGTATTAAAAAAAACAAAGATTAATTAATATAATTTCTTATTATGGGTCTTCGATGGAATGCACATTTAAAGGTTCGTAAAGAATAATATAATTTGATTATAAATTGAACTTAGACCGATGAGAATAAATCAATTAATAGAAATAATCTTATTTTCAGTTTACTAAAACGGATTTTAGTAAACTGAAGCTGAAATTAATATCTTTAATCAGATTATTCATCCATTTTGATAGTGAAGTTATAATAAGCATCTGAAAATTTTATAAATAATTATTTATTGCCAAAAATGTTAATACCTCAGTCAAAATATGAACTTGGAACTTCCGACTTTCGTAAGAAAGAGTTATTAAAAAGGAATGAAAATATGTTAAGTACACAGAGAAAAAAAGACTATTCTTATCAACCAAAATATACTCATATATAAGCAAAAATATTGTAATCTTGCTTAAAAAATTTTAGTATTGAATTTGTATTGATATAAGATTTTTAATTGAACAAGTCTTGAATTAAGTGCAAAGTAATACTTGCATCAAAACAAATTTAATCAAATCAAGATTGATATCTTTGAAGCAAAATTATAATATTTTTGCTTATATATGAGTATATTATGGTTGATTTAAGAATAGTCTTTTTTCTGTGTAATATCTAACATTTGACAACAATTTAAATTTTATTGCCGCTGGCAAAAACAGCTCAGATGACTATTCTCGGGTTAAAGCGGGCGTCTCGACGAGATATCGGAGAAGTTTCTAAAAAACGGTCTGAAATCAAGCGAAACCTTTACATAAGAAATATATTATTTCTCGCGAATTTCTTTATCGCTGTAGACTTTCTTTATCGTGTTGCGCGGGGCGATAAAAATGGGTGTCGCGGAAACGTGCTAACCGTGGAAATTGAGAGCTGCTCGTAATGTGATACACGACGCGCCCCTGCAATTCGTTATCCCGCAAAAATAACCCTGGCGGTACGTAGAGCAGTCGTGCATCGCAAAGGGGAAGAAAAAAAGAGAGTCGGCGACTGCTTTTAAGACTTCCCAGAATCCGGTTCGCGCGAACTCGAGGGAGTTTTCTGGCGAGACTCGCTCTTTCTCTTTCGCTGACCGGAGCGAAATTGATTCCGGCTCTTCCTCGATTCGTCCCGAAAATTCGATTTTAATTCGACGCGCGATGATTGGGACATCAAAGTTTAATTTATTCACTGGAACGAGCGGCTGAACGTTCGTCTGTCATATCAAACGGGTTTGGCCTTTCGGTGACTGTGAAATCCTCATCGAGTGTGATTGGCTGATCGCAAGGTGAACGCTGAATCACTTTACTTCCTCTTTCTTTTCCTATCCGCACAAATTTTGTGTCGATAATCCACATGAGTATCGAATTTCGAGTTTCTATACGAATTTTCCTTTCTAATTGTAATAATCTGAGTAAATTATGATATACCGACTGCGATGGAGAGAGCCAAACAGGAAGCTATAAATTGTGTACAATTACAGCCGTCTGATCCTAAAATACTTCACAAGATTAACTCGACTCTTTTCGATAATAAATCTCTAGCGAAAATTATTAAGTTGCATTTTTCGACAATGATGAGAATAATAGATCAGTTGTTGGATTCAAAGCCCTGTGCTTCAATTAGGAGATTTTGAAGACTATACATACACTGAAAAACAAACTAAATTTTAATAAATGTTTGTTTGAATATTTTTAACTTTTTTTAAATATTTACTAAACATGTTTATTTGCTACAAAAACCATTAATTTGAAAAAATTAAATAATTAGAAAGATAAAAAAACATGTGCAATGTTTAT